CCCCCCCAACCCCCGCTTCATTCTTCTTTCTGTAAGACCTGTGGGAAGGGAAGCCACCATAGTGTTGCTTCTATTATGTTCATTACACCGATGTGCTTTGCGCGGCAATAAGATTCTTGATTAAATACTGTTGTATTTCTGATTGCTTTCTTCACCATAAAAAGGAAATAATTACTCGTCGCTGACCTAAATGTCATAACAATGTGAGCATCTTGCAAAAAGAGGAGCTGTCGCATCTCTTCATAAGGTCTATAAATAAACTGACCTAGTGACTCAGATGATTTTTCCAAGGTCGTCAAAGAGAGATGCATGACGCATTATGAATGTTCACAGTTTAGCCAGGTATCTTTTCGGAAATTTATCGGTTACTATTTTTGGATCTACAGGTAATGCAATGCGACAATTAGTCCAGTTTTTGTACATTTAATTTATTGTTACGTCCTGTGACCGGAATATCAGATTCGTAACATAACTTTGCTTGTCTGTATAGATTTGACGTAAGCTGTGACGATATCACGGTGGACTGTCGTGAGGGGGATAGAGTTTCGAATCTTCATTTAAAAAAATAATAAATAAATAAAAATAAAATGAAATCTGGGTTAGCCCGCATGTCCTATATATATATATATATATATAGATCTATATATTAAATACACTTCCTTAACTGAGGAATACCCCTCTGAATCTGTCTTTAAAATAACAACAACAAAAAACAACAAAACAACAACCCCTAAACATTGTTTTCTTTAAAATCTCATTGAAATATGTGAAACACAAGGCAAAATTATAAGTACCAATATAAACATACTATTTTATGACATTTAACCTCATGTCTTCTTCTCTCCACTTTACAAACCAACCGTCCTGCCTAGTAGACAGAGCTGCGAGGCTATAATGTTAGCAACGACGAGCCACATTTTTTCCTTCTTTTTAAGAATTTTTTTTTTTACTTTTCTTTTGAGGGGGGGGGGGGGCTCTACTCTGTTGTTTCATTTGTAATGAGTCTTAACCTACTTTTTTTTTCTATTTCTGTTCCCCATAATACAGTTTTGATGTTACGCGTGGATATTCCATTTTTATCCATCTATTCATATACTATGTTAATATGTTGTTCTGCTTCTGTGTGTTTGTATATGCGTATGTATGTGTGTTGTTTGGGGTGGGGGTGGGGGGGGTGTTGGGATGGAGGGGAGGTATATGCCTTGAGTGTTTATATGTGTATTTGTAGATGTGTATTGTATTATAATATATGTATCTCTCTCCATGTGTATATACATGTATATACATAAGTGTATCATATAATGTATTTTTCTCTTTCTTACTCTCATTTTCTCTGAGTTTGCTTATGTGTGTGGATTTGTGTGTGTGTGTGTGTGTGTGTGTGTGTGTGTGTGTGTGTGAGTGTGTTTGTGTGTGTGTTTATGTATGTGTGTGTTGTGTGTGTGCCCCTCTCTCACCCCCCCCTCCAATTGCTCTTTCTCTCTCTCTCTCTTTCTCTCTCTCTCTCTC